AAAGAAAGAAAGAAAGAAAGAAACAGAGACATCTGGCATCGAATTTTCGAGCTTACGTGAAAGTAAGTTTCCGCGTTAACCTCTGATGTCGGATGAAGGAGCCGCGGTGGAATTTTTTTTAAAAATTGGGACACGAGGAGAGATCGACGTCTCATAATCGAGAGCCGCGGAGAGAAGTGCGGCTATCGCAGAAAAATTCTCTGAACAATTCCATTCAACAGCATCGAGCACGTGACCTCTTGCCCTTATTGTCTCTCATCGATTGACGCTCCGATAGACGTGATGAATCATTCCTGTGTCACGTAATACGTACTACGAAACGCAACGCGAACATAGCCGATAACTAGGAACAATGGGGAACGAAAAGTAACACATCGCGCCACGATGATATCCACGACTGACAATACGCGCGTGCACTCGTAAATGGTGTTTTATATTGATATCGACCACTCGGTCGAAACTCATTCATAAAGCTGCATTCAATGTTAAATGATTCACCGTATAACCGTGAAAAGCTGCTACTAGAAGATGAGAAGCATTCACGCAACCCCAAGTTTTTGTCTGACGGTCCTCGTTTTATCAATCGTTCGATCCGAGTCGCCGGTGAAATGTCCCACGACTGGAGTTTCGACGCCGTAATATTTCTCTTCCCTTTCTCGCTATCCTGCGTGTCACCTCGAGGAATGCACGATCATCATCATCACCATCATCATCGTAGAGCGTATTTGTGACTCGACCAACTTGGACCTCTCTAATCAAAACTAGCTGGCGTCGTTGGATCGATGAATTCCACGAACATCTATGCTCCCCTCTGTCCCTTCACGAAGTTTTTCCAGCTAACCCCTCGTTAACAAAAACCCTCTGGCGAACCTCCCATGGCGCGGCATCGTGGCGAGTTCGACGACACGATGATAACCGTCACAACTCGACGGGTTGAGGCTCGGTGGATCTCGCGAGCGTGGAAAGTGAAAATATTAACCTAACTGAGTGAATGAGACCAAAGTGAGGAGTGAAACGTTCGCCCGATATTTCAACGAGGCGACCAGGACTTCCGCCTATTATTGGAATAATAAAACTGTGCTCTATGCGCGCAATTACGTGAA